TATATATACATATATATGCATATATATATCCTATATATATATCATACATATATATATACAGTCACTGTGTGTGCATGTTTTGAGCTGCAACTTTTACACGTTAAAACAGAAAACAGTGGTGGTGGCAGGGCTCTAAATGGAAACAGGTTGGTTTGCGGTTTGCATTCCTGCCTGTGATGCTCTGTGATGGGACACCATGTGAATGTTCCTGCCTTCTTTGTGCTTTTGAAGAGTTTTCCCGTCGTTTGTTGTGGGTTCTGCTTTATCAAACACAGGTGAGGCTATGGGGCTCTGGACTAAAAGATAAAGCGAATGAGCTTTTAGTCTTCATCATGTCGAAACCGCAAACAGTTTTTCCTTTTTCTCAGCGGCGCCGCTCAAAGGCTTGGAAAAGCTTGGGTTGACAATAACAGAGTAGTTGCTCTTTCAGCGTTGTTACAGGGTGACTTCCTGTCTCTCTTCACACTACATGGTCATTTGAGGTCAAGTTGCCACAAACTGATGCAGGAAAAGCAGAAGCATAATTGTACATTTTCATCAAGGGTGTAGCTCAATGCTGGGGGTTTACGCTGTGCTTTACTTTTGGGTGTTCTCTCTCTCTCTCTCTCTCTCTCTCTCTCTCTCTCTCTCTCTCTCTCTCTCTCTCTCTCTCTCTCTCTCCATACTACGTGGTTGAATCTTTTTTCGGCTTCAGCCAGAACCTTTGGTATTGTAGAAAAATAAACAACTTGTCAGGATAGTCATGCAACCTCCATCTAGATCGTTGCGAATGTGATGTTTACGTCAAGTCCTCTTCTGTGTGAAACACAAAGAAAAACAGACACAGTGTCACTGAGACTTTTGAGCATCTTTATTGCAAGTATTTCATGAAAATCTGACAAAACAAGCTTGGTTCGGTGACATCAAACTCAACACATATTTTTATTTAAGGACTTTCTTCCTGGTTAATCCATCCTGGACAGCTTAGGCCTCTCTTGAGTGAAAGTTTGGTGTTTTACTCCAGAAGGATGCTGCATCTTCCAACAACCTCACCTATTTCCATCCTCTGGATCGTCTCTGGTCGTTCTTCCTCGGCCAGCCTAACCAATGTGCAGACTACTGTACAACCACAACTTCCTGAACAGGTAGTCTGAACACTGGGCAGACGGGACGGGTGGCTAAGATTACCGCACTCACTGCAATTCCATCATCTCAGGAGTCCGACTTAACTGAGGGGTGGGTGGGGTAAGGAAGGAGGAGGTTAGGTGGAGGTGATATCCATGCATTGGCAGAGTTAATGACATTCCCTCCTGTTTCCTGCTGTGAGAGACAATATTCCGCACCATGCTGTGCAGAGGAAAATCAAGCTTGTCAGAAGCAAAACTAGCCGATGCCCCTACTGGACTGAGTCCACATCATGTCGGGATATGATGAGTTAAAGTTATAAATCTTAGCCAGAGAGAGTTGTTTTCTTTCAGAGCATTTTTTACAATCCTTGTTTGGAAATTGTAGATGGAACCAAACAACGGACGGAGAGTCATGCCTCGTTTAGCCCACATTAGTAAAGCTTAATCCCAGTTTAATCCCAAAATCCCAGGTCAAACTGAATTTAAAAATCAGGATGTTTCATATGTGGTTAAAAAAACAACTACAAAGTTTATTAAACAACAAAACCAAC